AATAACAAATAAATCAATTTAGTGTCTAAATTAAAAATTAATTTAAAAAAAAACTTAATTAATTAAACATTTTTTTGTTTTGTTTTAGCAATGTCATTGTCCAAAATGATTGTTTTATATATTTATATAAAAATATTGTAAATATATTGTATATATATATATATCTTTAAATACATTTATATATACATTACTTATATATATATTCAATATTATTAAGACAAAAATCTATGATTATTTGTTATTTATAACTTATATTATTATTATTATCATATGTTATTTATATATGCTATTTATAAACCATAACCTATAACCATTTATTAATTATAATAACTAACTAACTAACTAAATAAATAAATATTTAATTTAAATATATTTTTGTTATAGAATTATAATTATAATTAAAAAAAAATTTTTAGTTTTATTTATGCAAAAATTATTATATTATACACTATGTGTTGTATAGAAATAATTATTTATTGTCTGATTATTAAATGTTAAAATTAATGTGAAAATTAATACTAAATACAATATATATATATATTTATAGATTTTTGTTTAAAAATCAAAGTTCATTAATGATATACAATTTATATTATTATTATTATTATTACTGTATTATCAAATATATACTGTATATATTTTGATTGTAAACATAATATTAAATTAATAATTGTTGACATTATTTATTATAAACTATTAATATACTGTTATTATATAAATAGCTAATACTGTAATGTAGAAAATTTTAACTAATAATAAATACTCAAATAAATAAAAATTTTTACTTATAATAAGTTACAGTATTATTATTATTATTATTATTATTATTATTATTATTAACACATATGATGATGATGATGATGTTTATTTAATAATAATAAACATAAAAATGCCCAGGGTAATTGGCAATTGACCGATTATATATATATATTGAATGTATAGATTATATGGTGTATGTAATTATCATTATTAATATAAAAAGGAGATTATTATTATTATTAGCAAATATTTTTTTAAATATTATTATTAATATAATAATATAATACTATATTACTGGTAATATCATCTGTAATTGTCACCAAACATATACTGTATATATGATATATATATATATATATATATATATATATAAAAAGTCAACAAAACTTAAAATTGTATTTATTTAATAATAATAATAATAATATAAATACAGTATATTATGATATTTTTTTTTGATGAATGCAAACATTTATAGATATATATTAATATATATTTTTTTTGTCTAATATAATTATTATGATATATATATATATACTATATATAATTATATAAATCATAAATGATATGAAATAAATATATATATATTGAAGTTATTTAATATTTAATACCGTATAAAATTTATGATATTATTTATATAATAAAAATGATATGATAAATTATTATTATTATTATTATTTATAAAAAAAATACAAAAACATTTAGTCAAGTAATATAATTTTTTTTAAATTTAATTAAATAACGAAATTATATATCCAATAATTTTTTTATTTATTAAAAAAATAGTGTACATGTGTTTTTAAAAAAAAAAATAAAATTATATATATATAGAATTACAATCATATAAAATAATATATATTTATATTAAATGTTTAAATATTTAAATAATTTTTTTTATTTAAAAATATTTTTAAAATACTAGAGATAATTTGTGATAAAATATTTCAAAAAAATTGTAATATAATTCCCAAATGTTTATATTATAATAAAAATAATATTATATTTAATATTTAGTTATTTAATATCATAGACATGTACTTTATATATATATATATATCTCATTATATTACTAATCATATTAGAAAAATCATACAAAAAAAAACAATATAATAATAATAATCATTGATTATATAAATATTATATATCATATTTATATATATAAAAAAAATTTTTTTAATCATATGGTATTAACAATAATAAATTTCTAGGAAAAAATTTTTGATGATTTAGTTGCAAAAAATTTCTATCTATATTTCAACAACAAATAAATATATATTATTTTTAATTTACTTTATAAATTGTAATCAATATCTACAGTATATAGTGATATCTATAATAAATTATTACAATAAATGCTAACAATAAGTGTTAACAATAAGTATGTGGTCATCAAATAAAATAAAAATAAAATAAAATAAATTTCCATTGACGTCAAAAAATGTGTTCAAAAAACTATTGCTATATTATATTGTAATATTTGGTGACAAACCAACCAAATATAAATATGTATTATTAATATTAATGGTCAGTATATATATGTGATTATTAACAATTTGTTTGTGAGTGTGTGTGTGAGTGACAACCTAACGGTGCCCTACCCGAGACTCCTACCCACCCGTCCCCCCTATCCCCTACAACCCGCACACATTTATCTATCTAAATATCTCGATTGATATATACTACCCCCTCTCTCCCTCCCTGCCCCCCCCTATAGGAGATACACATATATACATACACACAATGT